GCAGTCTGCAATCCCTAAAGCTCATACTTAATGATTTTCCTGGAGCAGAGCCAAAGGACTCAGCAGCCTGCAACATGGCAGCTCCTTGGGTATGGGGGAGGGAGGGAAGGAGGAAAGAAAATGCAGCCATTGCAGCCCCATAGGTCCGGATGTCCTGTCCCCTTCCAACACCACTGCGGGCAGACCAAGTTTGTGGTCAAGCAGGCAGTTCCACCTTCAGCCCAGGGGAGCCCTGTGAATGCTACAGGGATGCAGACGGCCCATCTTACCCCTGGCACCCTCCATCATTTGCTTGTTGCTCGGATGGATCCTAAGGAAACCTCAGATTTGTCTGAACGTTGCTTATTTGTCTGAAGTCTGGGATACTTTGGACGTTGCTGCTGACCTTCATGAGATATTGATGGCTTTCCCCAGCAGCAAGATGAGGTTGTGGGTCACAGGTGGCCCCCTGGCTTGGGGCAGCAGGCAGCAATACAGGCTCTCCCCCCCAACAGGGGGATGGTTCCTTGCCATCACCTCTTGTCATAGATTGTATCTGGGTTAGAAAGGCCAAGTGGGGGCATTCATCTCTCCTTCCCTGATATAATCTGGCAGGAGATACCAACTTGAACTGATGAAGTGAGGTTTCTGGTGGCATTCTCTGCATGGCAACACCAAGCTGTGCATTTGTTGCCACTTCCAATGAGACAGGGACAGAGACAAGTCTTCTCCTTTAGCCAAAACCCCCAGAACTCTTTGGCAGAGATGAAGAGGCAAATGAAGAAGCAAACGATGAGACACATCATTCTTCCTGGTGTCTGCAGTGCCTCAGCTCCTTCCAGAGCATTTTGGAAAAAAAAAAAAAAAAAAAAAAAAAAAAACCATCAAATTGGTCTTCCCTCTTCCCATCCACATTGCAGGAGTGCTGCTGCATGATCCCATTTGCAGCAGGGAATGTGAGGGCTCTGCTCTGGGTTCCTGTTTCTGTGAGGTGCAAGGTTCCCTGCCCTGCTGTAGGGCCAACCCCAGCGTCTGGTGGCTCTGTGGGGACAACAGGAGCCTCCTGCAGACTCCTGCGCTCTTCCCAGAATGAATTTCCATTTCCTGAGCCAAGTGCTGAGAAAGCGCTGAATAACTGCAACAAATTAGATTACTCTTTGGTGCTTGTCATTTCTCTACAACATCCAAGCTGCTGGAGATTCAGCAACAGGACTTATTCCTTGTGGTTCCACACGGTCCTGAGGGCGATGGAAATTCCCATGGGAGCTTGAAAAGCCATTTGGAAAGCAGCCAGCCTTTCTCCAAGGGGAGCGAGCCAAGAATCCACCAGACTCCAAACCACACGTGCCAGTGGCCAATGACAGCATCACCCATCTTCTCTCCGTGTTTCCATCCCCTCCCAACTTTCCCCATCTTCCCTGTGATCCCGTTTCCTTCTTCACGACCCAGCTTCTTTTTCTGATGGAGGAGTATTCTCACTGAGCCATCATTTAGGATGACTTCATATATTTTCTTCTAGCCTCAGGTTATCCCCTCTGGACGTGTTCATGTGCGTGCCTGCAGCCCCACTCTTCTTGGCATTGCCTTGTTCTGGGCCAAGTCCTGCCAGAGTAATTGCTCTGAGAGTCAAGAAGTCTTCCCTGGGGTAAATCCACTGCAAGTCAGCACACAACTCTCTGCTTATTCCCATGGGCCATTATTTTGCTGCCATTATGATAAATTATGACAAAATTCTCACTCGCAGTGCAGGATCTGTCCCTCCTTTCAGCAGGGCAGCGGTGACTGAGATGTTGTGCATCTGCTCTCATCCATGTCTTGCACCCAGCCCTCGGAATGCTGCATTCCCCCTGTGTAATCACCCCATTAATCTCATGCAATTCGTGCTTTAGGAAGCACTTTGCAAGAGCTGATAGCAAGGGAAGAGCTACAGAAATGGACGTGACTTTGGTTGTGTTAGCACAGCAAGCAGTAGATGCTTTGCCTCCTATGCTTCCTCTGCAATCCTTGAGGTTGGAGGTGCTCTGCAGCTCAGGTTGGGTCCTTTTTCATCAGAAGTGCTTGTCTCACTACATCCTTAGTCCCACTGCATTTTGCAGCACCCCAGCTCCAAAACAGCCATGGCTGGTCCATCCTGGCACAGAGAGCGGAAAGCAATAAAATCCTGTTTCCTCTGCAGGGAAAAAAAGAGTCTCCCAGCTCCTTGTGAGATTAAGCTCTGTGCACACATCTGCAAATGTGAGAGGGCAGAGGTTAAGCCAGGTGGTGCAAGGGGAGGAGGTGACAGTGCTTAGCAATGCAGATCAGATAGCTCTGAGAGCTTCCAGCCTTCGTGGCCAAATCCTGGGATATTGAGGGGTTTAAGAGGTAATAAAGTCAAAAGAGGGAGGAGGGAGGGAACTCAGCTCCATGATCTGGAGGTGTCCACAAAGATATGCAGATGTCCCATAGGCCGTCAGGGAGGCAATCCCCATTGGCAATCCTCCACCTATGAGGGAGGCAGATGTGAGGTTTGGGTTTTGCTGTGCTGGGAGCAGCTCTGAGATGCTGGCAGTGCAGTAGCAGGATGGGCTGGCCGGTGGAGCAGCTCTCCTCAAATCCCTGCATCCTCTGCTTAGAAAACTTAACCTTGCCAAGCAGATGCAGCGATTGCTCCTGGCAGTCGTGCAGCTTTAGGAGTAGGTTTTAAGGCCATGCAGAGATGACAGCTTCCTGGGCACCTCTGCCTTGCTGCAGCAGGAACCTGCTGTGACCAATTTGCTGCCTCTGCTCCAGCTGAGATGTGCTGTCATGCCTGCCCCGAGCCTGCTTTGTTCTGCTCCTTGCCACCATCTCTGGCTTTCAGCAAAGGGCCTTGCTTGCTCTGCAGTGCTTCATTTTAACCTGGTTTTCCAGCCATGGGCTTGCAAGGAGAGGGGGAAACCTTGGGAGCTTCCTGGGGCTGGGGACCAGGTTGAAGACTCTGATAGATGATACGCAAGGACTTTTCTCCCTGCTCCTCACCCACATGCTCAAATCCAACCAGAGGACATGTCCCATGTCCCCCCCAAGATGCCTGCTGTCCATCCTGCTGTCTGTCTTGCTGTCTGTCCCTTGTTTGCCCTGTGCCCAAGCTCTGCTCCTCACCCTGCCCTGCAGGTGCCAGTCCTAATCCCAGCACTCTGTCTCCCTCCCAGCTCTAATCCTATAAATCCTGAGCAAATCCTCCCAGTGTCCCTTCTCCAAGGCAATCTTTGCTTGGAGAAAGCATTTTTGGGGGCGTACACAGGGAACCACAGCCTGTGCTGGGGAAAGACAGCAGCCTTACCCACTCCCTTCTTTTCCCTGTGTATAAAATGCCTTTAAACCTGCAGAAGGGTGGTGCAAGTTGTCATTCAGATGGGAAAGGCAAGCCACTGCCCAGCTCAGGAGGATCCAACAGGTACTGATGGCTAAGGGCAAAGAGCATTTCACGCAGAGCAAGGATGGAAAGCCTCTATCAGTCTGAGCCAGAGGGGATCTGCTGGGCTGTTGTTATCAGGGCTGTTTCACATGAGGGGCACTATTTTAAGGCTATTTAAGTCTCCCTTGCCCCGATACCACACAGTGCTGGACCCTACTTTGGCATTGCCCCGGGCTGGGCTCAGAGCCTGCCCAGGGTTTGCAAATCCACCCAGCGAGGGCTTAGCCAGGTGGTGAATCACTGCATTGTGAGACAGCCCCAAAAAGATTAAAGCTGACCTAAGAATAAAAACAAGCTGTGCAGTTCAACCGATAGGGATAACATGACAAAGCGTGCCAACGGGATGGGATTGCAACCCCAGGGCAGGAAAGCAGCAGATTACCACTACACATTGCAGTACACAGGGCATGCTGATTGTGCTTGGGTGGTGTTTTCCTACCTGGATTGGTTTCTCGTGGCTCCATTTTCCAGCACGGATGGCTTTAACCCGAGGCACAGCAAGATGCAGCGTGCATCCCAGCAAACTGCCAGTTAGGTAACTCCAGCAAGTGCCCACGCAAATGGAGGAGTTCAAGCAGGGGCACGTTTCTGAGAATAATAACCACACAGATATATCCCCATGAGGCTTTTATTTCTATAGAGCCTCTCCCTCCTGCTGCATACTGGATGAAAGCATGATGTACAGAAAAAAAAAATACATGGTAATACACCAATTGCTTTCACCACTGCCGGCAGCAGACGGGATGGAGTCTGCTCCTGGATGACAATCCCAGCCTCCCTGCACTTTCCTCTTCCAAATTCAGGCTGGATCTATAGGGCAGCCCAGGGGAAGAAGGCTCCGTTTGCCCCAGCGCCTCATCTGGTTCCTAACAGATTAAGTGCACCCCTGCAAATTGACTCAGATATTTTACTTTCTTCCCACATTGGGATACTATGACTGTAGAGACGGGGTTGGGATCCGGAGCTGCACTTTGCTACTGGGAGTCTATAATGGGTGGCAAAGCCATTGGCTCTTGCAAATTGAGAACAAGCCCAAATGCAGCAGCCACAGATATGAAGAAAAATAACTGCTTACCTTCTGAAGGCTTCAAGTAGGCAGGGATCTCCAGCAAGAGATGCCCTCATCTCCACTGTCAATCCTTAAATGAGTTCTGGGAAGGGGTGGATCCTGCCTTCAGCCCTTCCAATCACTCAGGTACATTGCTTACACCTGAGCTGCCCTGGGTTGGCCCTGCCTTCCCACCAGGTGCTTCATCACTGCTTCAGACTGTAACGTAGCATTTCCACTACAGAGCCCAAACGTTCCCAATAATAACAGGTCCCAACAATAGCAGCTCAAGCAGGCTGATGCTACTCCTTCCCACAGGATGCATCACAGAATCATTCAGGTTGAAAAAGGCCACTAAAGTCACCAAGTCCATCCTGCCATACCCACTGACCGTGTCCCTCAGTGCCACACCTCCACAGTTCTGCGACACCTCCGGGCACGGTGACTCCACCACCTCCCTGGGCAGCCGTCCCAGCGTGTCACCACACTTTTGGAGAAAAAATTTGAACCCGCTCTTTGCTTTTGCCTCCCCAGGGACGTATCAGGGCCAGTGGGTCGGAGGGATGCGCCAGGGGTACGGCGTCCGTCAGAGCGTTCCCTACGGCATGGCTGCGGTCATCAGGTCACCCCTGAGGACGTCCATCAACTCCCTGCGCAGCGAGCACACCAATGGCACGGCCCTGCACCCCGACTCCTCGCCGGCGGTGGCTGGCAGCCCCGCCGTGTCCCGAGGTGGCTTTGTCCTCATGGCCCACAGCGATGCCGAGATCCTCAAGAGCAAGAAGAAAGGCATCTTCCGCCGGTCGCTGCTGAGCGGGCTCAAGCTCCGTAAGTCCGAGTCCAAGAGCTCCTTGGCCAGCCAGCGGAGCAAGCAGAGCTCCTTCCGCAGCGAGGCCGGGATGAGCACAGTCAGCTCCACCGCCAGCGACATCAACTCCACCATCAGCTTGGGCGAGGGCGAGGCTGAGCTGTCTGTCATCGAAGACGACATTGATGCCACTACCACTGAGATCTACGTCGGAGAGTGGAAGAACGACAAGCGGTCGGGTTTTGGGGTGAGCCAGCGCTCCGACGGCCTGAAGTACGAGGGCGAGTGGGCCAACAACAAGCGTCACGGCTACGGCTGCATGACCTTCCCCGATGGCACCAAGGAGGAGGGCAAGTACAAGCAGAACGTCCTGGTCAGTGGCAAGAGGAAGAACCTCATCCCGCTGCGGGCCAGCAAGATCCGCGAGAAGGTGGATCGGGCCGTGGAGGCGGCCGAGAGAGCGGCCACCATCGCCAAGCAGAAAGCGGAGATCGCCGCCTCCAGGTAGGCATCGGGGCACCTCGGCCCCAGCGACAGCGGGGGGACGTGGGAGGAGGTTTGTGTCTTATAGAGGCTAAGGGCCGTTGCTTGGGGGAGGCGTTGTGGTGCTGGAGGCTTGGGGGATGTTGAGGTGGGTGTTGGTTGATGGTGCAGCCTTGGCTGCGTCTGTGGGCTTGCTTCTTGGATCTGTGCAAAGCCAAGCCTTCGTGCTTACGCACGGGTAAACTTTGTGGATTCTTCTCAAAAACGGGATGGATCCAGGCTGAATTGCCCCTCGTGCTCACTGTAAGCAGGTTGAGGGTGCACGACTATCCCAAAACAGCAATAGAGGGTCAACCGGAGCAGTGCACTCACTGAGAGCCACGTGAGGGTGGCTGCAGCATGGTAGGATTGGGGTGCTGAGTCCCTGGGTGGGACAGGCAGCTGTCACTTGGGAGGTCCTGGGCTGTCTTCCCCATTTCTCCACAGCCTGATAGGAGAAGGGCTCCTGCAGTGCTGTTTCCCCAGATCCTCTCTCTGACACAGCCCAGAGAAACCACCCTAAGGATGGTCTGTGCCATTTCAGGGATCAGATATGGCTGAAAAACAGCAGAAGAGGAGGAAAGAAAAAACAACAGGGTGATATCTAGTTTAGCTTAAAATTATGTCCGACTCAAGTGCCTTGTAGCCAGCTCCCAAAATGTGCATAGGGCATGGTGAGCTGCAGTGAGCAACCAGAAGAGAGGTGAGCTGAAGAGGAAAGGCTCTTCAGCTGAGATCAGGGATCTCTGCAGCACTTTGGGGAGTGGTTTATGAAAGCACGGGGTTTTCTTTCTGTTTTCTGACCAAATGCTACACGTAGAACCCAGTGGTGGTTGGGGAAAAAAATCAGGCAGCTCCTCAGTCTCCTGTGCTGGATTAATTGTTGGATCTGGATCATTTGTATTCAGTGTCACACTTGAAATCTTTATCAGCATGTCTGCTGATGACTGATCTGCAATGTGAATGAGACTCCCAGGCCTGCTTGGGGAGCATATTTGGACTTGATGTTTTCTAGCTGATGTTGGACCAAGCTGTTGTCAAAGCTTTAAAAAAAAATAAATCCCACTCGAATGCCAGGTAGGGAAAAGACTGCAGAGCAGAGGAAAGACCAGATCTTTCTGTGTGATGAGACAATGTGAACATTCTGAGACAGTGGGCTGAACCCTGGAAATGGAAATCCTTTCTGAGAGCCTGGGCATCCCCGGGTGGTTCCAGTTCTGGAACGCCATGAGAGCAGGAGCTGGGAGAGATGTGACCCCCACAAGCTGGAAATGCTTTAATGAGTTGTCGGCATGTAAGGCTCCACCTCTAATTGTGAGAGAGGAGCAGGAGGAAAAATAAGATCCATCTGGGGCACAAACACCTTCTGCCCCCATATCAGATGGGGAACATGGAACCCATGACCGTGTGTGCATTCAGAGAAAGGACAAATAGGATTTAGGGCCACTCAGCAGACCCCGTTAGTCATTAGTAAAGCTGCAAAGAAATAAATGAATGGGAGTGCTTCAAGGATACCCCAGCAGAGATGCAGCCCAAGTTTGGCATCGCTCACGAGCATCGTGACCCCTTCCTCCCATGCTGCCGCCTCCCGGCTTTACCCTTCCTGCTCCAGAACAGACACAAGAAAGCGTGGCCACACCAGGATTTACTCTTTTGATGGCACAAACATTGCCTCTGGTGTGTGGGGGAGCTGAAAAGCCCTGTATTGATTCTGCTGTGCAGCACATAGGGATGGGGATGGGCAGATTCCAACGTGACTTGTGCAGTGCATTAGTGCTGGGGTAGCATCTGCGCATGACGCCCATCCTTCCACCTGCATTAATGGCTCATGTCAAAGCCCCAAAACTTAGCAGCAAAGAGCCAAGCTGTCTGGCTGCATTCAAGCACGCCTGCGGGGCTTAGGATTTGCTGGAGGCACAGAGGAAGTGGGACTCGGTGTTGTGCAGACTCAAGGTGCTGGGGACTCTCTGGTGTTTGCAATTTGCCAAATGGAGGTGGGAAGCAGGAAACCTGTTCTGTCTGAAATGCACAGGCTTTCTTGTTGAGCTCTTTCCCATTGTAATAGTTTCTTGCACGGATGCTCTCGGCTGCACCCCAGCATGCAGAAGCAGAAGACAGCAAGGTTTTACGACCAGCTAGAAAGGCTTCCACGTAATTAACATGATTCATTTTCAAGCTTCTAAATGGATCAACACTCCCCTGCAGTGCCCTCACCAAATTGCATTGTCCGAGCTGAAATAAAAGCACAAAATAGGCAGTAGGTACATTGGCAAAGGGCTGTTTCTGGCCCTCTGGGGCTCACGGGTGCAATATTCCACATGTAAAACCAACGAGAGCCACTAGCTTTCCATCAACCTCCAGGACAGGCTTTGTATGTGTGTGCACGTGAATGTGTGTGCTCTCCTGTCTAATAATGTGGCTGAATTCGCTGCACAGCCTTTCCCTCGGTGGGGGAAAAATATGTGGCCACCCACAGATTTCATTAAATTTGTGAGGATTCAGTATTTTTGAAAACTCAGCCGCTCTGTCAGATTTGGTTGGAATTGGCCAACACGTTCAGAAGTTATTAGTGTGGGAGTGATGGCGTATAGATATATAAACAGCACAATCGCATAAGCGAGCCCCATTTCCTGAGGAAAGTAGGCTAAAAACATAGTGTGCTGAAGACAAGTAAATTGGATTCTTCAAGTTGTTTCAGTCTGCACAAAGCACAGTGTGATCTGCGACACAGAAATGTAAGCTCATTTCAGGAGCAGTTTGCAGGTTCTGTAGATGATTCTCCTAAATTTTCCCTAACGCAATTAGAAAGGAAAGAACATCTTCTATCCTCCTGCTCCTGTAAAGTCATTGGGTGAGAAGAGGCAGCATTCAGGGCTGGAAAACAAATGTTTCTCCCCATCCTTCCTGCTCACACTCCCCATCCTTTCCGTGAGGACAGAGGACAGGGATGAAAGCAGAGGGGATGGACGGAGGTGAACTTTCGGGCAGGGGTAATTCCCTTTGCAGCAGTCTGTTTTCTTCCTGCCTTCCTCTTCCCCAGTGTTCCCCAATATGAGCTATTGTTTTTTTCCAATCCGGGGAGCCCCGTTCTGCCCCATTACAATGAATGTGTTGGGTGTCCACTTTGTGCTTCATTCCCCACCAGGCATGAGCCCACTTGGAAGAAGGATGCACTGAAGACACAGGAACCCCATCTCCCCAGTAACACACTGATACCCACCGTGTCCATAGGCACCGGTGTGCCATGGGCAGCTAAAACACAACAGCCAGCCATTGAGCCAGCAGGCTCTTCCATTTCAGAGTTTTGGAGGAAGAGGTTGGACTTCCATCAGAGAAATGGGCATTGGTGTGATGGGCAGCACTGGGACGCGCTCAGCTCCACACTCACGGTCCCGTAGCACTGGAGGGGATGCTGCTCTCGGGTTAGTCCTAAATAACGTGCTTCCAGGTGTAATTATAGCCTAGCCATTCGCTAACGATGAGAAAAATATAATTAAGCTCAACGTCCTCAGGAGGAATCGGGCTGCAAATTAGCGTGGTGTCATTCAACTTCAGAAAGTAAAAGCGGAGGGGGAAAAAAAAAGAAGTGAATGAAGCCAGGAAGGATGGGTAAAGGAGGATGCTGGGGCTCTGCGTGTGCCCCACACCTGGCACACAGAGGGGAGCAGCAAGGCAAGAAGAGCCCCAGAGTGCTGAGCAACAAAGTGCAGGAGGTTGTCTGAGCCAAGCAGGTGTTTTCTTTAGAAAATGGAAATGCAGCCCAGGCAAAAGCCACAGAAAAGAATAGACGCGGCAGTTCCGATCCCAAACATTTCAAGTTGCAGTAATGTCACCCCCGGCAGAACGCAGAGCCGAAACGATGCTGCTTAATGCTCTCTCAGGTCTGTGCCTGCAGCTTTGTGATTGTGCTTGGCTGTGTTGGATCCCAGGGTTGTGCTGGCTCTCCTGCAGGGGCTCCTGGCCCTGTCTCACCATTTGCTGCGGATGGAGCCTGGGAGGATGTGGGGTGCAAAGGGTTGTGTGCGTCCCCTTCCTCTGGCAGGGATGGTGGGACGAGCTGGCAGCTGGAATGGGAAAAGCTGAACGGGGAGAAAACATCACCACTGCCCCTTCGTTGGGATCAACAGGGCCACTGGTGGTGCTGTGTGGTGCCCATTGTGAATCTTCCATCCCTGTCCACACTCCCCATCCTTTCCTTGAGGACAGAGGACAGGGATGAAAGCAGAGGGGATGGACGGAGGTGACCTTTCGGGCAGGGGTAATTCCCTTTGCAGCAGTCTGTTTTCTTGCTGCCTTCCTCTTTCCCAGACAGCCCCAGGGCATCTCATCCTTACCCACCGCAGCTCTTGCAGCCCCTACTGTCCGCATCGTGACTGCCTTAAATCCTCCTGCAGTGCGATCTAATAACTTCCTGCTCAGACAGGACTTAAGGCATTAAACCTTGCTGCAGCTATGTCAGAAGTCAGGAGCAGACAGCACGCTCATGCAGGGACAGGCAGTGTGTCCCCAGCTGCCACCACGCTGAGTGCAGCACCCACTGTATGAATGGGGAGAGCTGGCTGTCTTTTGGGTGAGCAGTGCTTTGCAAATAATCCCTCTTAAAAAACAAATAAACAAACAAACCCTCATTTGCTCTCCTTTGCTGCTCTTCAGCCATGACCTGACTCCCTTCTTCACTGTTCCTACCACTTTCTCTTCTCACTGAGCTGAATCAACCCAAATCCAAGATGCAGGTGTGTGGGATGGGTTTGTGTAACCCTTTCCAACATTGCCAGGTGGTGATGGAATAGCATAGGAAGGGCGAGGACGGAGCCACGATCCTGGCAAAGTGCAGTTGGAGGGGCTGTCATAGCAGCAGTGGAGCAGGAATGGCTTTTGGGGAATGCAGGATGAAGGAGCGACTCAGAATGGGAGAGCTGGCTGCACTTTGCCATGGGACCACATGGAGAAGGGGGGGGAGATGAAGGATTAGGAGTGCAGTG